CCTTGAAAAGTTATTACAATTTGCTCTAGAAGCACTATGCAGATAATTGTTACATTGTAAATGATCAGCTCATAGAACTTTAGCATATCAATATATGCAATCACACTTACTAAACTTTTGCAGTTCTGGTATTAAGTTGGAGTACTGATGCAGTGCTCTTGCAACATCTTTGAGACAGAGTTCTGCATGCTGATACTGAAGATCCAAACAAAAATACAAACTAACAAAAACATCAGAATTCATAAACATGTAATTTGTCTGGCTTACATATATATTGGAGGATGATGTAAACAGCTAAAAGCTGCTACGAAAACTTCTTGGTCAACTGCAAAATTTCATCGAGGAGATCACTTCCTATCATTATACGACATCTCTATTCTAATAATGATTTGTAGTACAATATGCGTATACATATGTATTGTATTACACGTTCAATACTACACATTTAATATGTGTCTATCTTCCAACATTAGCACCTAGAGTACTAAGATTGGTAATGGCAGGGTTTGAAAACATGCCTCTGGTCATCTGAGACAAGTAGATTTTCTTGCCAGCCCAGTAACTTTATATTCTCACCTGCCCAATGGGCAAGTGCCCAGGCAAGTTATCTGCCAACTAAATAAAAACAAATTTAAAGTAAACTATAACTTGCCCAGGAGAAGCAAAATTTAAGAGCTGCTTGTCCAAAGGGCAAGCTGGAATTCAAGTTTTTCTTTAGACCTGAACGGCCTTTCTTGTTTTTATTGAAAAACAAGACAGGGTTTGAAAACATGTTGACATCATCATCATGGGGTAATTGACTTTCTTCTTACAGCCTCGACAACATGCATTATGCCCATGTGAGACTGGACAAGCAGGGGTGTAGCAACCATATACACACATATGTGCATCTGGTAGATATATTACTACCCAGTGGATTAATTAATATTGACAAAATAAAACATGCTTTCTACTGGAGAATGATTCATCTGGTGGATACACGTAGCAATAATAAAAGCCTTACAGCTATTTTTTTTTCCTGGTTTGTTTGTTTTTAAGAGTAAATTTGAACCCAAGCGCGATAAAACCAAAGTTTTTGGTTTGTCTAATAATACATGTACATGTACATGTATGTGTATAAGGAATCAATCAGTAAGCAAATAATAAATAAATAAATGAATAAAATAAACAAATTAACAACAAGAAATAAACTAGCACTGTGTCCCGGGTTAGTGCCCTGCCAACAAATACCAAGCATCCGAATGTTTATTTTACCGTTTGGGTCATATGCAAATCATATCGCCACAGCATTAAATAAGGACAATTTTGATAAAATTACAAAATCAAGAATGGAATGTCTCAGCAAGTATTCGAAAAATGACCAAAGATATTGAAACAGTTTGTTCAATAAATTGAAGGAGCGAAGATCTGTTATTCTATTCTGAGCTTCTCACAAGATGCTCGACACTGAGCTTTTCTCGGAACCCAGATGAAGGAAGAAAGCACCATCGAACACGGTAACGTCATTTGGGTCAGCCGGTTACTTTCTTTGTCGCTTCAGAGGTTCACGAAATATTTCTCATTTCAAGCAAGTATTTCACCGTGGTCCCAGAGGTTTACTTCCCTCCTTCTTTACAGCGACTACACATTCACGGTTCTTGATGGATTATCATTGAGAATTTTGGAAGAAAGAACGGACAAGGAAAAACCTCTGGGGCTGGTTTTAAGTTCAGCTGCTTCGAAATATAGAGATTGGTACTGACCTTTCCGAGCTTACTCCTCAAATGCGCATCAAATGACATTTTTAACTTCAGCAAGCCGACTTAGAAGGCCTTGGTTAAGGACGATATACTCTACTGCAAACACCCATGGTAAATTACATTTAGCTTCGTCGACTGTCACATACCATTCTTCATGTATGTGACACCAATGCCACACATAC